GGAATGACCCGGCTGAATGGCCGCTGATTGCACGAAGGTGGCCTGCAAATGACTTTCTGATATGGCCAGCAAAATATTGACTGCGTTCAGCTTACACAATCTCACGGCTCTTTCAAAATTCTTTGGGGAATCCGTAAATTATTTTCGCACTGAACGAAATAGACTTGATATTGACCAACAAAAAAAAGGGTATTTCAAAGAGAATCACTGAGCTGCAACTGGATTTTAATGGTCTATTGTACGAGCACCACTGCGGATGAGTAATATTTTTAAACCGTACTTGAAAAATCACTCATCCGCTACGTCGATGCTTTGCTTTATTATAGTTTAAAATTTTTGTGTTGTTGTTTTATGGACGAGTTATTTATTTTGATGGTCATAGAAAGGTATTTTTTTTTAGAAATTATAGTGTCGTATATTTTATGATTTTCTAATATAACTTTTAATCCATGTTATCCTTTTTTAGTTTATTTTGTACGTCACCAAAGCTATGTTTTATGCACAATATTATTTAGCAAAATATAGTCTGCAAATATCGCACCTCTAAAACCGCCTTTTGTATATATTTAATTTGAAACTAAAATAATTTTAAAAGTGCCAAACAATTCCCTGGCCAGCCATAAAATAAAACAACTAGTTGGCGAGGCTTGAAAAAATATACAACCGAAATTCGATTGCTATCGAATCTTTTGTGTCGGCTGCCGGACAAAAATGTAAAAGCAAAAACAAGAAATTTATATAAAAAACATTTGTATCTTGACACTTTGGACGACCAAAGCCCGTAAATTTGTGCAACAAATAAGTGAATTTCAGACAGCATCAAGATAGAGCTTAAAATATTTGTCATAGTCGCACATGGAAATCTAGGCACGGCAAACTTTTCACTATGCTCGCTAGTTCCCAAACTACGCGTCGCGATTCCTGTTATTTATTTTTTATATACATACTCGTATACATATTTTTTTCCTTTGTCTTCCAGGGACATGGCACCTGGGGCGATGTTCCATTTGGGGACTCAGAGGAAAAAACACAGTTGGAGATGTCTTTAACAGATTTTTGAGTCAACGTTTTTTCTGTTGCGATTTGTTGTGCGTTGTTGTGTTTGTGTTCTTTTCTTTTATTGTTTTCAATTTTGTTGTTGTTGTTGTTGTTGTTGTTACTGTTGTTGTAGTACAGTGCTTCCCATTGCAACTGGCCTCCCCCCTCATTTACATTTGTTTCATCCTATTATCCTGGTTAACCGGCCCCATCTCAGCACTCCAATGCCCCACCGTCGTGCCATTTGTCAAGTTCTGCTCCCAACTTTAGCCCGCGGCTTTTTTGTAATTACACAGCTCGTGGTGAGGGGTAGCAACAGAATGGCGGAGAGGGTAGGTAGTGGGGATTTGGTCGGGTAAATGAAAGCGGCTTAAAAAAGCAGAGCGTTGGGGTTTTGTGGCGCTCGTTAAAATTTGTTGCTCTCATTTCGATTGTTGCTGTGGTGGCTGCTGTAGCTGCTGTTGTTTCTGGGCTCTGGGATTGTTGTTTTCGCCGCTGTTGCCGATTTTAGTGCGATTCCATTGGCCCTCCCCCTACCCCTCGTAGGCATAAAAGTTGGGCCCGGATTGAAGGTATTACGCTTAAATATGCGAACCGGATTGAAAAGCTCGCATGAAGTTGTCCAACCATGATTCATGATCCCCTCTTCTGGATGGCCACTTTAATGCTCATTCAATTTTCCAGATCCCAACAATTAAGAGTTTTTAATCATCGACTAGAGTCCACAACAGAGCAGAGGCCCAAAAGTGCCCAGCTGGTTGGCTGGTTGGCTGGTTGGTTGGATGATGGCCTTTGTATGGCTCCATTATGCGGTTGATTTACTACCCAAACAGCTGTGAAATATCATGGCCCTACAGGATGCCTCTTGACCGATGCCAAACGGAATGGAAACGGGTCAAAGAGATTCGCCCATATGTATAGAGTCTCTCTTTAAAGTTATCAGAAGTTTGGTCACTAGGGGATTGTGTTTTTAATAGGAAGTTGAAAAGTTAGGAATAGTTTTTAGGACAGCTTTTTGGTGCGTTTACTGTACTGTATACTAGTTGATAGTTCATATCTCTTGTCATATTTCTGTAAACACCTCCTAATAACCCTTTTCATGAATACCCAACTATATAAAGACCACTAAGACCCCGTGTAATGACTGTATTTATTATCCATTTACTGTACCGAGTTAATGCCCTGATCCCTGGCTTATCTTTGCTTGAACGCAGCAGCAGCAGCAGCTTGTTTACACCCATATTTATCAATCCTGTCCGCAATAAGACTTCGACAGAGCCACGAAATGCCCCGTTCTACGATAAAAGTTTTGAGCAACTCGGCTAGATAAATCAACTGGCATTAGGGGCCAGCAGCAGGGGCAGGGGTCTGGCGATGCTGCTGCGGCAAGATAAATAAATTAACTCGTTCAAGTTGGCTGACAGATGGACTTAGTGCCATCATGATGGGGAGGACAGAGACCTCCCTCTCCTTGCCTTTCAAACAAACAAGTCGTTAAAAACGCGTGAATCCTGGCTAATTTATGGCTAATTAAGTTGACGCAACTTTTATGCAGGACAAGAAGATGGGGAATTCCCCGTCATAAGCAACATATGCCACGTGCTTTCAAAGCAGTTATATATTTCGTTTGTGTTTGAAAAACGGTTTGGGGGCTATGTATATGCCCATTATATGGTCATACACTTAGCGAAACAAAGAGCACGTCTAGAACTTGACCTGCTCGGTGAATACCTCGTTAATTAAGTAGCCTGTTATGAGCAGCTTACCATCGTAATACATTTTTATGATCGCAAATGGAATTATAACTGCTGGGCATGTGACTACACAATGCTCTGCCTCCCTTTCAGTTTCATCCTTGTACTCATTTCGTTAGCAAGAAGCTGAAATGCACTGAGGGAAATGGCAGGGCTAAATATATTAGGAAAACTATTCAAAAATACCAATTTTAATAGCTTATTATAGCTTGTTATAACCAAGAAACGTTGTTATATAAGGACAGCAATTTAAAGAAAACTCGAACTTTGAGTTGCTAACATTTTTTCACACTGCATTTACACACAATGCCCTTACTGGGGCATAGGTTATGGTCGGATGGGTCAGTGGGACGCCCCGTAGACAGACTCCAGAGTGCGGGTAGATTGTTGAGGAGCCTCCTCCACAACATACACAGCTTCCAGGGGCTGAAACGAAACAGAACCATACGTATCCCTACCATGTCCCTACCCTGTCGGGGTAATTTCGTAGACAAACATCATTGGCATTTCTGTTTGAAGGCTCTGAGTGCCAATTAACTGAACGTGGCTGCCCCACCTGAACCGGACGGATGGGTGAATGGATAAGAGTACTCGTCCCCCGAGGGTACAGTAACCAATACATATATACTAGATATCGATCAGATCTACTATACGCATACTGTCAATGGGTGCTTATCTAATTACTGACTCAAAAGTGTGAACAATCCTGCCACCCTGCCATCAAATCAACTTATGTTAGTACTTATCTTTTTCATTAACGAATTGAATTCAATTTCATAATAATACTTTATTAATTATACCAAAATAATTAAGATATTATCTATAAACAAACATCTTTACTTTGCAGTCATGTTTTTTCCTGGTTTCCTTCGGTTAGCCGTCGGCGGTGACTTGGCAAACTTGGTCATCAACACGTAGTCTCATTTGGGATGCTTTAACCACACACACAACTCATCAAGAGCCCCAGCAGAGTTGGCTGGCCACGTGCCGAAACGCCTTCCTGCCACTCCTCTAGGAAAGGGATTCCAACGGGCGGTACTGGAGCTGAGCTTTTAAATTAAATCACAAAATGAGGATAGAGACCGACTAAGGCAACCGAGTCCGCCGCTAAACCAAATAAATAAACCCTTTGGCCGCAGTCCTTGGTGTCCTTGCTCCTTAAAGGCGCATCCTCCTTGGCAGAGATAACAGTAAAGACAGGAAGTCAACTTGCCAGTGGCCCAAGGGAAGGGGTTGGAATGTACAGTGGGTAAAGTGGGAAATTTAGTGGAGAAAAAGGAAATATCAACTTCATTCTTAAATATTTTTTTTATAATTTTTTAAACTTCTTTATGCTTAGATTAAATTATGACCAAAGATTTTAAGAATCAGTTATTAAAAAATCAGTAAGTCCCCCATTTCATCCACTGTAAAAATGGAGAAAGCGAAGAAGATGACTTCTCGTTGAGCCTGGCAATTCGGTCGCCAAAAGGACACACGGAGACCAAAAAGGATAATGGCATAAAATCCAACAAAATGAAAAGAAAGCGGCAAATCATGTTAAGAGATTTAAATTGGATTAGTTGACATGTGTGTGAGTGGGTGTCTATCTATCCTTGGCGGTGCCAACTGGCGGTGGCCGTGAAGCCCGACTGGCTGTGGAATATCCCAGCATTTCCGCCACTCGCTCATCTTGACATCAATTTTGTCACTTGATTTCCCTTTCTTTTTTTGCTTCTCCTCCTTTTGCATTTTTTTTTTTGCCATGCCCGGCCTGAGCTTTTATTTATTTTGTATGCTTGACACAATTCCTGGCTCGAGTGTCTCTCCGGTCCTCGATGCCATTCACTCGCCCAGAATCTGCTCTTTCGCAGTCCCCAATGAAGGTTCCGCCCAGGTTCTGCATTTGACAAGTATCCAAGCCTCCTCCCAATCCGTGCGGATGCTACCTTCCGTTCATCGTCCATCCACTGTCGTAGGAAAAGGAGGGACGACCAGTTTGACACCCGGAGACTTGGCGTCAGGTTGAGCCACCGCTGTGGCATGAAGTAAAAATAAGTGTCAAGCTTTGAGAAAAGCTTTGAATGTTAGAATGATTTATTATACATTCTAATTCTAAAAAAGATACATTTAAAAGCCAAAAATCTATCACCAAATTTAAAATTTAACACACCTTTTTATGGCAATATTAATTTATTTTTTGACTTGAGAGCAACAGGCTGAAGAATATACAGTATAATATTTTGAATTTATTTTACAAATATTTTTATATCATTCATTCGTGGTTTCCTTCTTTTTGCGATACTTAACTTGGGACGTGAAGATGTCATAGCCCAAGCTGATGCTGTTATCATAGAAAACCCGATACTGAGGTTTAATCAGAAGGAAATTGATGAACTGCGCCAATGGCCACACTGTCCATTCGGCAACGTAAAGGACTAGGGCCTTCTCCTTGATCTCCTGCTTAAGTTCCTCCCACGAATTATCCTCCAAAATAGCCATGGTAATAAAGAACACTGCAATGTAGAAGGGCGAGCAGATGAACTGGTCCAGTAAGATCTTCACTACAACCATTTTATAGGTACGATGGGGATACAAATAGTCCAGATACTGGTACCAATAGTGACACACCACGCCCACTGTGAGACCGGAAATGCCCATCCGGATAGTACGTATCCGATTCCATCCCTGAATCTCTCCTATGTACCGCTCATAGCTCTGCTCCATGGTATCACCCACCATGCTCAGGCCCACAGAGATGCCAATGTTGGTATACAGAAGATATTTTGGACTGAATGCCACCTGGTTAAATCGGTCCAGGGCCTGCAAAACCCGCTTCCATGACACTCGTCGGGCCATCTATTTGCCACAGTTGTTGTCCAGTCCATTCCAATTAATCCTAATGACACATGGCTCGAAGCTAACTTATGCTGAGTTTATGTTTTAACATATAGAGATTGATTTAATGATTCCAATTTAATAACTTGTTTCCTAACAAACGATTTTCAAGCGATTGTCACGCCATGCTGGCAACTTTTCCCAGCCAAACTCCAAATTCCAATCAAAATTTTAATCAAAATGCCGCAGGAATGCTTCTATACATATTTGTTAAAGATAAAGGCACGACCACAGCTAGAAATTATTCTATCAAAACAGAAAGGATTCGAGGGTGTTTGGCATTTAACTGGAAAACAAAGCACAAACAGGCAATGAAATCAATTTGCCGCCAACAACACGAAATGAGTTTTCCGAGGATTTGTTGAGGTAGCCTTAGAAGGCTCCAACTTATAGCTAACGCCTTGGGCGCAGGGCTCCGTCCGCCGTTGAAAGGATCAAAAAGGGTTTTTGGCCAACTAAAGGAGGAGAAAAAAAAACCGCTTTGCTCGGCATTCAAATGAGACTTTCCCCTCGCTCGATAATCCCCAGCCCACATGTTGCTCCTCTCCGTATACGAGGTGTGTTCAAAAAGTAAGGTGACTTTTCAAATTTCTCGGGCAACATATTTTCGATTATCGTTTTTTTTGTTTTGTTATATTGGTACACTCTTCCCTAACATCTGTACCAAGTTTCAATGGAACCTCCTCTTTTGTTTGGTTGTGAGAGGCGTAAAGTTACAAGTTGTTTTGCGAGCTCGGCGATTTTTTGCTTTTTTCGGTCTTGGCTCGTCTGGGCTCTTCCATTGGGACGATTGGGCTTTGGTTTCGATATCATAACCATATACCCATGATTCGTCACCAGTTATGACCCTTTTGAGTAAATCTGGGTCGTCGTTGACGTCATTCAACAGCTCTTGAGCGATGCTCATGCGACGGTTCTTTTGGTCAAAATTCAGCAATTTCGGAACAAACTTCGCTGACACACGACTCATACCCAAAACGTTTGAAAAATTTCATGGCACGAGCCAAGCGATATACCGACATCTTCAGCAACTTCTCTGATAGTGATTCGACGATTTTCCAAAACAATTTTCGTCACTGCTTGAACGTTTTCATCAGTTGTTGACGTGCTTGGGCGTCCAGAGCGAGGCTGGTCATTGGCATCTTCCCGGCCATCTTGGAAGAGTTTGTACCACTTGTACACATTTTTTTTACTCAGAACAGTTTCACCGTATGCCACTGTCAACATTTCAAGTGTTTCAGAGCACTTAATTTTATTTTTTACACAAAATTTGATGCAAATCCTTTGATCCATATTTTTCGATAGCAAAAAATCGCCGAGCTCGCAAAACAACTTGTAACTTTACGCCTCTCACAACCAAACAAAAGAGGAGGTTCCATTGAAACTTGGTACAGATGTTAGGGAAGAGTGTACCAATATAACAAAACAAAAAAAACGATAATCGAAAATATGTTGCCCGCGAAATTTGAAAAGTCACCTTACTTTTTGAACACACCTCGTACCTCATCCCCTCTCCGTATACCTCATCCCCTCTGTATTTTAGGGGCTCTGACGCCCCTGGCAGGGCATTTTTTTCTTTTTTTTTTTTGGGTGTCCCGGGTGTCGGGGAGTTAATTCTGCCAAATCATTCGCACGCGATTCCCAACCGCAAACCCCGAACGGAACCCCTTTTTGCACCCCTTGGGGAAATCATATGTGCGGTGGGTGATGGCACCCTCCCCGCCGCCGCAGCAGTGAATTGAAAAATATTTACGGCCTTCTACAGTCTACGCTAAAATCCAATTTTATTTTTATATTTCGTCGAAATCCGCCATAAAACCGGGTTGCCACCAACGCCCCTTCCCTGATTCTCGCCTGCCGGTTGTTCCGGTCGCCGATTCAAAAGCGCCAACCGTAAATTCAGCTTTGCCAGGACTGGTTGGATTTCCCTCCCCCCATATCATTCTGATTCTGACAGAATCGGAGGTTGGGCTGCTGGCATTTGTTTCATTAGCACCGCGACACATAGATGTATTTACTCTTTTCCCAATTCGCTGCATTATTTGCTGGCTTTAAATATGGAAAATGTCGAAAGAACAATAAGGCAGCGAATCAAAAATAATAAAAGTGAATTTTAAGTCAACAAAAATAAAAAAAAGAAGCGTTTGACGTAATTAAAACGGTATGTGTACATTTTCATGAAAATAATTGAAAAAGATAAAATGGAATCAGAAAACAATACAAAAATTTGGGAGTATAAAAGTTTATTGGGTGGAAAAATGTGTTGGAAAATAATGGAAGTCCGAACTAAGCACAATTATTTTTTAATGTATTAAGTTAATGTATTTATATAAATTATTTAATTTTGAGGTGCGATAAAATCTGATTTTCTTCTAAACGTATACAGCAATCATTTTTAGATAAAGTTTTCACTTTAAAACTCAGATATTTGCAGATATTCTCGACACGTCCCTTTTATTGCACCTTTCAACCAAGACTAAAACCAATCGATATCATCCTTAACAAGCAATGATCTTATCTTGGCTTAACCTTAAGTTCATCTGTTATCGGAATTATATCGATAATTAAGGTGACCATGTAGTCAGCCTACTACAGTTTATGTATTAAAATAAAAATCATATTTATTTTAACCCATTTTAAGAATCCATTTTTACAGATTGCTTTTTGATAGAAGGCTCTTAACCCACTAAACAAACTGTACTCTTATTATCCCCAAATTTTTGTACACACAACAGGCCCAGAAATTTGTTACTTTTAAAAAAAAAAAAGGGTCGACAACAATAAATGCTGATTCGGTTAGTTCCAGCACAGGACCTGCGTCACAAAAGCCTTCCAGGTCTAATTCTTTGTGCAAATGAAATGTGCTTACAGCACTCGGCTATTTACATACTGGCACTTCCATCCGCAGCCCTTTTTTCGGGAGCACCGGAGAGATATGGAGATACTATATTGTGTCGCCTGTCCCGAGGTCCATGGGCACATGAGTACGTCTAGCTGGATGGTCGCCAGGTTTGTGGAGCGTGGCGGTAAAATGCCCAAAAAAGGAACAAAAAGAAAGAAAAGTGAAAGCGGCCATGCCGGGCAAATGCATTTTCATAGTTTTTCCCACTTTGTTATGCTGATTTTTCACATTTTCGTTTCCTTTCATTTTTCCTGCCAGGCAGCCAGCCAGCCACCCAACCAGCCAGCCTTGTTCGTTCCGCTCTCAATTCTTTTTTTTTCATTTCGCTGGCACGGGATGATGTTGCCGGATTTTAGGGTTATACTGTCGGGTTGTGGGGTTCCCGAGCATGTGTGCATTTTAATTGAATTTTTCATTTCGCTCAATAAAAGCAAAAGCCAAACATGTGAGCTGAGCAGCGAGCCGCAAAAAGTGTCATAATCCTTCTCCATGTCCTTGGACCCATTAAATTCAAAGGGAGTTTTCGCAAGTCCAGTGATTTGGTTGATTTACTCAACTGCTCAGCCACATTTAGCTTAATATACATATATATGCTATATTGCAAATCACTCTCTAATTGATTTAAAATCGATTTTGAATGGCGTTTTAGTTCATGTTTGGATGGCCGTTCGGCTTCATTTTCCACTGGCTGGCGCCCACTTCAATTTATGCAAATTAAATCGAAATGTGATTTTAATGGTATTTCAGCACGGCCAGGCCCAAATGATGATGAGCGTGTTTGCAAATAAATGGAAGTCAAAAAGTTTAGTCAGCTCAGCTTTCTCTCTCTCTCTCTCTGTGCAGAAATCCGTGCAACGGGGCACGGAATCCACTCCGTGGAATCACAAGGAAGCCAACTATAACCGCATGTTCCGTTCCGGAAAACTAACTTATTCAATTAGTGGATGGGAAACTTTGAATGTTTACGTTACACTTAGAACAATAGAGGGGAGTTTCAATGGCAGACCTTCAAAGTTGTGATTTTTTAAAATATTTTAAAAACTAGCAATGAGCTAAGTTTAAGTTGAGATTCAGAAATGTAATCAATTTTTTAGACCTATAGAGGCATTTCATGACTATTACTGAGTTACCAAACAAAGATTTTTTAATAAAGATTTTCCTTTTTTAATTAAGAGTTTAAAGAGCACATTTTTTGTGGGAATCTCGAAACATTTCCACATTTTTTCCATTCCCAACTATAAACCGATTCGGGAAAATAAAGTATTAAAGCCAATTAACGAACTTCTTTTATATGAAACCAATAAATCACATATTTAAATGTAAAATTCCGAATTTTGTTCTTTTTAAGAGAAACATGAAAAACATGAGCATTTTTTATACGAATTCTTGACAAGAACAGGATAAAAATCGGATTGATTAAGGCCGAAAAAAACAAGTTAATACTGCCGCTGCAGATTGGCTTAAATAGCCAACGGGCATTGTTTAAACGGAATATTTAATCCATTAACAAACTATCTCTTACCAGGATTAAAACTACTATATCAGTATTTTTAAATATTTCCTTTTTTTTGACAGACAGAAGCAAACGGAATTTCATATGTATCACAGCGAATGTCAAAGGTCAATTGACTTGACTCGTGCAATCAACCAGCTGTGGGTAAAGGAACTCCCGGCATATTTGAATTGCACCGCCGAGGAAAATAAGTCAGCTCACCGTTAACGTAAACGAGCAAATAGCCAAACAGTCAACATGGCGGCACCGCCACCAGCCATCCGCCTTCCGCCACCCGCCAGTCGTGCCAATTTCGTTAAAGCAAACGAAAACAAACAACACGGCTCCACCCCAAAAACCCCCAATTGCAAACCAAATAGAGCCACACCGAAGCCATCACCCCAGTTTGCAGAGCCTGTCTGGACGATGCACAAAAACAAAAGAGCAACAAGGTGGAGGTCGGGCAGGGGATGACAGGTGTCCTGGTTCAGGAAGAAGATGCACTGTTAAAAAATATTTAACAAATATTATCAGAAAGTGATTTACCTAATTAAGATAAGAGTTTTAAAAACCGTTAAAGAGTTTTTAAGCATAGAAAATGTTTTCCAACATTAAGATAATATTAAAAATGTCTTATTCTTAGCCCTTATTTCTCTCAGTGTTGGTACCTTATTATCATGGGTAGAGCACAGCTGTTTATGAGGCGCAAAAATGTCATACATCATGCGACACGCGATGTCAGGTTGAGAGGACATGAGAACCAGGACCCTGGCAGCCTGTTCCACGTCGTAGTTGGAGTCGGAGTCGGTCCGTCCGTCCGTCCGTTCATGATGCGGAACGAGATGAAATTGGCTTGGGTCGCAAAACGTAGCAAAACGGCAGGCATGCAGAAAACAACGTCGCGGATTTGTAACTGAGAAGGATCCACTAACGGCAGAAACGAAAAATGAGTGCTGTAAGGGATGGGATTCCACGGCAGACAGACTGCATCATCGCCCGCATCATCATCATCATCATCGCCATCGCCACCTTCTGCAGTACTTCGCCATTATTATCAGCGGCATCGAGAGAAGGAGGAGCAGGAGATGTTAAGTCCTGGCTGCTGACTCCTTGCTTGGATAGGCATTCACGCCCAGCTAAGTGGCACACGAAGCGTTAAACTATTAAGCACATGTTGCCACTCGGCGGGTGATTCATGAACGGGTGTGCCGGAGGATCTGCGTCACGCACAGGAAGTGCTCTCACCGCCATTGTTACGCGGACCAAGATAAATCATGCACATAAGTCCTGGGCTATGTCGCCGTGCCGTGAGATTACTACATAAATTCTGCTTGCCATCGCATTTAAAAATTTCATTTTGTCACTGCTTCTCCACGGCGCCTGTCCAACTGACGAATTATTGGGACGCAATTTCGTTTTGCAGGTGGCAACGCTGCCAACGGTTCTCATGAGAGATAACAAAAATATTTTATTCTTAGGAATATATGACATGGGCAAAAGTATAATGTTCATAGTCATTGGATTTCAAAGTACAAAAAAGTATGTTTAAATTAAATCCTGCTTAAAAGCAGGCTATGGCTGTCAGGAACTCCATTTGAAATCAGAAAGGAAAATTCATTTCACATGAAGTTTTCATTCGCAAACACTCACATTAGCCCTTTGAAAGGAGTGTAACTGCTGGTAAACTAAAGTGCTTAAAGCCAGAAAAATAACAGACAAATTAGAAACATACACACACACACACACAACCCATCTAACTGAATAACTTTTCAAAGGCACTGTAAGGGATATCATGAAGCTGCGGGAGGCGGGGCACTCTAATTAGAATAATTTTGCGCTGCGTTGCGCTTGACGTCGCTGTAGAGGTGGCGCCATCTGGCGGACAACAGCATGAGAAAGAGGATGCCTGCAGGACTTACCTATACACACACATACACATGCAAGCCTAGCACTAAAGCAAACAAAGCACTGAGAGAAAATTGTATGATACTTAGGAATATATTTTGATATAAAGATTTTTAATATAATTCTTGAGATTTTTCATTAACATTAAAGTTTCTGATATGGGTTGAAATTATTTCTCTCAGTACAGTGAAAGCTCATGGACCTGGCCTGCATTGAGTGTACGACGGGGAAATGTCAGGACGAAAGGTCAATGAACCCAGGTGCCCACGAGAGAGAGCCTGCGGGATGATACAACATAATCATGATAAAAGCATCACACATACGCACTGTGGAAGCCGCAGGAGTCGGCGATGTCAACGGGGAGCGCCTTAAATTACAGAATTTAATTAATTTCGCCGAGATTTTTCATCGCCGCCGCGCACTTGACTTTGTACATTTGACTCATCTCCATTGCTCTTTCGGCTGCCACTAATTTCCCCATCATCTGCGGTTGAGTCGTTTTCATGGGGATCAGCCAGGACTTGAGTTCGCCACATGTGCAGGCTTCGCAGTGCTCCATTTCCATTTCCATTCCCAATGCCACACGACACATGGCACATCGTACATCGTGCATCCCAACTCCCATTTTAATTTTAATTAATTTCAATGTGTATATAGCAGCTGTGACTGTCACTAGCCAAGAGTCCGTAGTATGGGCGCCAGGAGGCAGTCGAGCAGTAGCCAAAATGATTATGAGTAATTAGTTTTAATGGGCTCAAAGCCTGTCCTGGCAGCTGGAGAATGTCACACCTGGGCCAGGTGCAAAACCCGGTCCTAGTCCTGAGGTAACATTACTTTCGGCCAGGTTGCCAGGCACACTCGAGAGTTGAAAGTTAACTCGAGGGCCGCCTGGGTTACCATGAGCTAAATATTTAAGTTGGTTTTTGAAATTACAATATAAGGTAACCTTTGGGTTAGTACGTACACATTCTGGTTGGCTAACCAGCCAAATTAATGACACTTCAACTAGATCTACTCTCCTTGAAGTGGGGCACTAGTTACTATGGGAATATTAAATTAGGTTTAGATGTCACGCCCTTTAAGATCATGATTGGTTTGGTGTACATAATTGTTGGGTTAATGAAGGCAAGTAAGGGAAGAAATAGCAATTTTAATAGTTAGTTAATTATTTCAGTTGGTTGCGTGATAAATACTCAGAACTTAACTTGTCAGTTTTTTAACTTATTAAAGTTAAAGAGTCCTTGACACTGCCAATGCCAGAGTTACATAAAATGCAATAAAAAATAAAAACAAAACCCAATTAATAATCATAGTACTAAATGCTTTTTTTACCCATTGTCTCGAATATTAAATCAGCTAAAAATAGCACATAATTTACAAATTTATGTATTTAATTAATATTTAACAATTGCTAATTTATGACTGCCACAGCCAGAGCTGAATCACATAAACAAATATTAAAAATTTGCATTTGTTTTGCTTTTTTGGTAAACTTAATTAGATTCAAGAGCGATTTAAAAATAACATAAACCACATATAATCTGCCTTTGCCGCTGAATTTCGATCTGTATGAATGCGACTAAAGCTGGATTTGGTAAAAACAAAGTCATAAATCAAAACCAATTTGTGCTACAATTTAACTGACATTTCGCTGTCTCTCAGCTCTGATCGGTTTTGCAAATAGATAAGTGTCAACAAAATATTTACAAGGATGCCAAAAAAGGAGACAAAAATCCTTCGATTGACTGCCAACCAAAAAAAAAAATCGAATCACGGAAATCAAAGCTTTGAGAACATTGAGCTGAAAGTCAATTTGGGGCACATACAAACATGCAAGTACAGGGAAAATGAGAAAATGGCGAAAATTCAAGAGAGAAATGGTGAAAACTTTGCTAGAACGAATACGACTACGAGTACCATACAAAATTTAATGGTCCGCAAATTTTGATTGTTTTACTTTGAGAATGGAAGTTTCCTTCCTCCCTTATTGTTTTCCATTTTTTTTTTGTTCTTTTCCCATTTTTTTTTTTTTTTTTGCATTCGCTATTTATTTATTTCGCCTAGCTTTGAATTCGTTTTCCCGCATTTTATGCATATTTCAGATTCAAATATTTTTCCTACGCAATTTGCTTTGACTGGTCCCTCGCGTATTTGTTTAGCTGCGGGCTCTCATCTATATATATACACACATACTTTCAGTTAGAACATTTAGAATATATTCTCTCATCTCACCCAGAAAATAATGTCGAAACTGGGGTATGTTTTGCTTTGCCCTTCAGGTGCTTTTGTTTTCATTCTTTTCTCATTTTTGTCCATTGAAAAGCCAGCGGAAAGTTGTCGTCAATGTAATTTGATTCCCACTCCATGGCGGCCTGTTCCACATGCCACACAGGGCTTCCTTTTCCCGTCTCTATGATTACGCATACGCTCCGTTGGACAAAAAGCAAATTGTAATTAGACAACAGGGGCCGAATGGCTCATGCGTGCGGACAACAATGAACGGAAGTTGTTCCCAGAATCAGTTCTTGCTACATCTTGCTGTTGTGTCCAACCGAAGGCAGCACACAACTGTCCTGGCTTTGATACTAATGAAAAGATACAATTGACATAGAAAAAGGTTTCTGAGAACAGGACAGGAACTTTATTATCGTTTTCTTTTCATAGGGTATCTTTTCTTATCAAATACCATTTACCTTCCTTAAAACATATACGTTGTATGAGGTAAGTAAATCTTAAAAGTTATAACTACGAATCAACATCTTAGGAGCTCTGTTAAAGAGTCACAGAGTTCACGTCACATTGAATCATCACTCAAAAAGCTGTAAGTCTTTCGTGTCTAAAATCCCAGTAAATTTGTATTTATTTTATTTTCATTCGGTAGATTTTTCAGCTCAGACAATGTTGCACGGACAAATGGATGGATGCGATGCAGAAGTGCTGAGTGACGAAACTGCAGCTGCAGCTGACAAAATGCAATCGGACCTGAAAAGCAAGTGTCCCGTGCTGCATTCCCAGGCGACCGAAGTAAGTTCTACTTCGCCAGATGTCCAAACTGGGGACTTTATCAAGCAATTAGATGTTGCAAGTTCCCTGGCAACCGGTGGGTTTGAGTCTTTTAAGGTGGACTGCAGCCTACCAAGCTTACGGCTGAATACTCTTTTGTCTCCTTTCAAATTTATCGATCAAATGCGTAAGCAGAGTGAGATAAAGGACTTTTTAGACTTCCAGTGTGATGCTGGTTTCTGTGGTTCAAAAACAGAGATTTTGGAAAAGAGCAAAATGACAAAGCCTTACTTTATTCCTGAATTGGAGATGGCTTGTGCTGGTGCCCTAGCCGAAAAAGTAAAAGAGGTAAATCCACCTGAGATTGAATGTCTGACTGTGCCAGAGATGGATCTTCCAGAAATTCAAACCATAAAGGAACCAACTTTAGCGGGAATCAAAGAGGAACCCTTGCCTTTTATTGAAGAAGCAAACTTCTCAAGGTTAGAAGATCTAAATTTGCCAGGGATAGAAAAAATACAGGAATCTAAAACGGAAGTACCTATGCCGCAAGAGATCGAAAAACTAAGGGAATCTATAAACAAAAATCATAACTTCCAACCAAAATTGATCCTTCAATCAAAATCATCTGGGATTCTAGTTCCAAAAACTTTTCAGCTCGATGAACTTATTGCGCCGTTAGTAGAAAAAACCAAGGCAGTAACTAAAATTGGTATTATTAGTTCCTTGGTAGGAAATAAGTTAGCTTTGGCTCCAAATATCAGACTTTCATTTGGTGATAAAGCAATGAGGGAGACTAACATGAAAGGAGGGCAATCCAAGGAGATTATTCAACAGGAAGCCTCTCGGGCCTTAAGGGCTCTCATTTTTAGATTAAATGTGCTCAAAAATATTCAAGCAGCTGCAAATTGTAAGTGACTTTCAGAAAAAGATAAATACATTTTACTAATCAATCATTATTTCCAGATAATTCTCAAAAGAGCAGAGCGTACCGATTTGAAAAGATCAAGAACTCATTAACTTTTTCCAGAGTCTTTAGGCAGAATATTTTCCACCTTACTTCGGATAATGCTAACAGCAAAAAGATAATCGAAGAAAATTCGCTAGGCTGCGGTGAACCCATGATTAGAAGTCCAAGGGAATATAAGAAACCGATTCCTGTACAATACCGACCGGATGCCAGCGAAAGATTGACTTGTAACGGCTTGAATGTGAGCAAGGATTCAGTTTTTAGCGAAGTTTCCGAAAGCGATGACTCGGAAGTCGAGGATAGGTTATGCGTGACCCAATCCTGTCGAGATTTTTATAGCTTGCATAGATCAACTGCCGATCTGAAGGACATTCTGAGTAGTGGAAGGATATTGTTCAGCCAGCACGTGAGGGTTTTCTGTTTCAACAAGTTGAAGGAGTGGAAACGGCAAGGTAAAGTACCAGGTCGCCATGACAACCCTTACCGTTCTCCCTCCTTCTCAGGCGAGGGTCAAATTGAAATCTTGGAATACCAAGGATCGTTTTACATTGTACTCCATGACAGGGTCACCGGAGAACTGGTCATCTACATGCGGGTGAATGAAAAATGGCGCATTGATTACATGACCAAGACTTCCTACAGCTGCCGATGGACTAACATCAATTACGCCTCCTGCCGCGAAGGTATCCTGGAGAGGATTGCCTGCTCCTTCCGGGAACCTAGCCACGCTGCCGAATTCGTAGCCCGGATCCGGAACAGTGCCATCCAATCCCGTTTCGAATTGTGTTCTTAATTTGCAATGATTTCATTTCCAGCGTTTTAGTTGATTTCCCAGTAAAATCTGCGTTTGGGGCCTAGTTGCAAGCTGACGATAAATTATTGTGGAATATTTAAATATATATTTTGTAAATAATATTGTTTAGGAATTAAAAATTGTAGAGAAATAATCTCAAGACGTTTGGTTTGATTCGCAAAGGTAAATTACTGCCAAATGAAATGGTTCCTTATTGGTTTTTCTTAGCGAAAGCAATGCAAAATATTTCCATTATTCTTATCTTTTTAGATACAATAATATTTTAATCCAAGAATCACAGCTTTTTGAAGAAAAATGTTTTAAATTTTAAAATTTCCCGCCACGTTAAAGAGCGCGGAACATCATATCGAGTGTATCGAATAAATGATCATATCGATTGTAACTTAACCTAAAAAGCTGTAAGAGAGAGAAAATTAAGAAGAATTTCATATTTAAGAAATACCGTTGATTCATTAGCAGAAATAACAAAATGTGTAAATTAAAATGATTATATAGCCTAATGTCCTTATATAGAAAGGGTATAAAATTGTTAGCAACCAGTAGAGCTTTAATCGTTGCCAAAACAACTTTGGTATCGATTCAACAAACAGTTAAGAGAACTTATTTTGTGAAAACTAATTTGAAAAGGTAAACCGCACAGATGAAGTCATGGAATCGGACAAGTTAAACGAATTAAATCGACAAATAAATGAGATTAAAAAGCGAATTTTACTGGCAGGTAAGGGCATATACTAGAGCCTTTAAACTTTCTAAATAATAATCTGGAAACAAATCCCTATAGAGGGCCAAAAGACGGCTAATGCAGCCGAGTGGCAAAAGCAGAACCGCATTAACTGCGACACAATTGGCTCATTGAAAAAGGACATTAAGGAGCTAACTGTTAAGGCAAGTCGGCTGCGTAATCCCCTCCAGCGACCGGTGGTCATCAAGGAATCTACTGGCGAATCCCGGAGGGCCCAAAGCTGCACGCCCACTTTAATTGTGGGCAAAGCCACGTATCCGGTGGGAGCCAAAAATGCCGATGATGCCATCTTCCTCACTGATCTCAAGATCACCGAGAGTCGCAAGCAGATGGATCTGCTGCGGCATCGCTTTAAGTCCCGTCAACAGCACTTCAGTAAGTTGGTGGAGAAATATCGGGGATTGTTGGCCAACAAGGAGGCACAAAATCAGAATCTGGGTGAAAAGCCTCCTGAGACTCTGGAGGAGGATGCTAACAGAAAGGTATGATTTAAAGAATCTCATATTCCTGTTTATGTAATATTTGATTACCCAACCTACCCCACAGCTCGTTTGCCAGCTGGAGAACGAGATCCATCGCACCAACGTGCAGTGGATGGAGGCGGAGCACATCCGCAAGAAGTATCGCTCCATCGAAGCATCCTTAATGACGGATGCGGAGCGTTTTGAACGCAGTCTTCGGGAACTGGAGGCCTCACTGAGTGACCAAAAGGCGGAGATCGAACGTCTGCAGCAGGTCCACAACGAGGCAGTGGAGATGCGGGACGCGGCCAAGGTGATACTGCAGAGGCAGGAGCAGCAGGCTAATCTTTCGCAGAAAACCAGAGAACGACAAGCTCTCGATTTCCGTAAACAAGTGGAGGCCCGTAAACTGGAGCTAGAGCGGATAGGTCGTAAGCTCTTCGCCGAAACCAAGACACTGGTCCATCAGGATAGCGTGGGGTCCAGCTCGGGCGACCAGCACACTGCCAAAACGGAGAACGGGGAAGAGGAGCCAGTATCCCAACTGGAGAGTGTAACCAGTGATATGGAGTCCCTGTTTAAGCAGCTCATGGAAGCATCCGGTGCCACCTCGCCATTTGAAGTCTTCGAGAGATTCAGTGCTCAAAAAGAATCCGCAGCCCGTTTGAATTACTTACGAAAGGCAGCGGAAGCGGAAAAGGCAAATCTGGAGGCGGAACGGGAAGCTTTGACAAGCGAATTAGAGGCCTCCAAATTCTCAGATGTCAAGGAGAGTGAAGTGTAAGTATCAAGGAACATTTTTAAATATGTTTATATTAATTTTAAATATATCTTTTCAGAAATCAAGAAGTTATTGAGCAAATCAAGAACAGCATCGCTGCCAAGGAGCAGGATCGCAAGCTGGATACTGATGAGGCTGGCAAATCGATGGGGGTATTAAAGTATCTCAAAGAACGCATCTGCGAAATGATCTTTAAGGTCCAGGAAGTGGACGAGAGCAACATTGAGGTACCCGAAAGAAAGCTCCATGTGAGCGTAGCAGAACTACCCAATTTTCTAGCTCACACAGCCGAAGATGAGGATATGATTGAGGTGGGTAATGATATTTTATATGTTTATGAAAATTGATAAATCTTTTCCCATTAGATACTCAAACTGAAGATCAAACGCTGCCAGGAACTAAGTAAATCCGAGGACGTACCACCGTTTGAAATACCCAAATTGGACATAGTTGACGAAGAGGAGGAGGAGATGTACAAGGTGGAGCAGCCCAAGTCGCCATCTGCACCGGAGGGCGAGAAACCACAACCTATGCCCGTTTGCTACTACAATCTGTTCGCCGGAAGAGCCCAACGAGCTGCAGGCACCTCCTCATCTTCTCCAGAACAGGCACCGGCGGCAGGTAAATTTCAATTTGATTTTTACAAAGTTGATATCCTCATTTTTTGGGAAATATGTTATCCACAGTGGCCACTACCGATGACGACAATGAAGTGCCTTCTCGTAACTTCCTAAAGCGACAATCTGTGCTTATTGTCGACTCGAAATCCCGTCGAAAACCATTTAGACCTGCGCCCGGAGGAAGACGCAAATAGGATTTTTCAGCGATAAATTGGATTATATTAAAATCATTTTATATACACATTTTCAGAAAATAAAACTTGCCAATCAACGTTTGAAAAAATAAATAGTTGATGATAAAGTTTTAAATGGGAAACTTTAAAAACTGCATAGCTGGACTTAAGCTCAGTTAAGACGATCTTTTTGGCAAAAAACCTAAAATATATATTACAAAGTGGCCACTAAATAAGATAAAGAAACATAAATCCTGCTAGCAGTAGACAAATTTTAAATAATGAATAGAGTTTCCAGAAAGACAATTTGCCCATCCATTCTTGTACTTTATGGACGCTACATTTTCAAGGCTAAAATGTACAATAGCAAAAAACTATCTACCAAGTTACTTATGGCCTGGGGGCGATTTAATATCGGAGGCAGCATCCTCTGAATATTCGTTTTGCTTACTGCAGTTTCTGGATAAATGTCAGCAGCTTCAGTCAAACGACATAACAAATAGCTGTCCCAGCGATGCATCTACTGCAAAGACAACGACAACGAAATGGGTAAACGTAAACAGAATCTACTGCCCTCGAGGAGGATGCCTTGGACTAGGAGGACGAGTTTTTAGGTTGGATGGTCGGTGGGTAAATGAAGTGCAAAACGGAACAAAATGCGGACCGCGGCTGTTTCAGACGAAATAACCTTTCAAAAATTGTTTACACCACTGAGTTACAGTGGGTTAAAATACTGATTTTATGGCATGAAAATGAATATAATTTTAGTCACTTTTAAACACCATTAAAAAGGCATTGACGTAAACAAATAAATCAATTAAACCCAACTTATCGAATCCCTTTCCTTTAGATTTTAGATGAACTGTGAAATTAATTACATACCATTGGGCTCATTCCACTTGAAAACTTTTAATTGCTTTTCGTTTTCCCCTTAATTACTATTTATTGCTTGTTTTTTTAACATTTTTTGTAAGTGTTTATATTTAATTGATTATAACTCTAGTGCAGCAGCTAAAAATGTATCCACTGTACAGGCAAGGACATTCTGTAAAGCAGAATGAACGTCCTGGCTTTTCTAGTTAGCAACAATAAAGGGCACCAGCTGACGATGAACAATCAGGGGGACTGCTGCAGAGGCAGCTGCAAACTTCGGTGGCGATGTGTAAACAAAGATGCCGATGATCCATTGCCATGGCCTGTTGCCGGAAGTCCACGACTCAGGACCAAAAGGAGGCGGCAAGGAGGCAGGGATCCGTGTTGTGTGTGTCAACTAAATGTCAACAACGAGGACATAAACCACAGCAGACGCATACAAACAAACCGGCAGTAAGATGGAAAATGTCCGAGGACGACGAGGAAAAAGCGTTCATTGGAAACTTCAGCAGTTCCGAAGAAGGCGCTGATGGTGGTGGTGGTGTTGGTGGCCCAAGTCAACCAGTTGGAAAAACAAAAGCGTAGCCCTTCGCCCTCCGGCCATAAAGAGCGTAGGATCTGCCGGCATGGCAGTGGCATTGGCCCTGACTGCATTGAATAAACCTCGGCCGGGATCGAGGATGACTTAGGGGGCTCGGCTTTATGCGGTTTTCACTGCAATCTGAAGAAAACGCTTGACACTGGAATGTCGCGGTTGCCTGCGGTTGAAGTCGGTCCACATTGAATTGCACTGCTTGGGTCCCGCCACAACGGTGGCTTCCCCCGGATTGCTCTTTGTCCTCCACTGCGCCATCATTTTCTCCTTTAATGAATATGAATTATTTTTAAATGGGAAAATCCGCATGAATGCGATGCTAAGACAAAGGAAATTCTTGGTAAATGGTTTAAAACCTGGCAGGTTGCTGGGTAAAAAGGTTGATATTTAAATGAGGTTTAGTCATCCTATGAAAGGGAAAACATTAGTGAGATAAAGTTGATTTAAATTTTTGTCATTGTTTGTCCGTCGTATTATAATTTCTACTTTTACTATGAAGTTTTTAATATTAGAGTTGGCTTTTAAAAAGTTGTCTTATTCAACTACTAAAGAAGGTACTAAACAGTCTACACTCATAAAGCTAGTATGACTTTTAGTACCTCATCAGAAGTTCACTCTTATTGAAATTAATTCCTGGGATAAGCAGATAAATGTAAGTGCGGAGTTAGAAGGCAGATAACATAAATACCGTCATTACATTTCTCAGCCTCTTTTAGCAATTTTTCCCACATTTCTTTTTTTTTTTTTGTTCTTATGCTTTGCGGCAGAAAAAGTTTTCACGACTTAGGAGTCTGGGCAACTTTCTTTTGCCATTTCCTCAATGGTCTCCAGTAGGGCACAAAGCCGAAAAGTCCTCTACAGCAATTACTAAACTCTAATCCCGGGAGTGCAGCATCGGGTAATCCCCAGAACCACAATTGAGGGAGAAGACCTTAAAGGGAATTAGCTAATTAAAGGTAAGTGATGGCGGAACCAAAACGGCTTATTGCCTTTAGTCCGGGCAACATCGTGTGTAATTGGATAGTCACGACTTTTATCCATTAATTTTCACCCCTACTATTCAGTAAAGGGCCGCGCCTACTTTTAAGGCAATTAAGCGATTCAATCTCTAGGCGCGACCGTTAATCAAACGCCCATCGATTCGGCAAGACAACGCCACTAATTTTAAGCCCATCGACTAAAGGTGGGCGTGGTTGGGACGCCTGGCAACCGCAAACAATAAATTTGAATTTCTGCCACCGCCGCGAAAAACTTTTTAACTGTGCACAAACTACGCGGAGGAAAGCATCAATATTCGGGTGGCGAGGTGCACTTAAAACAAATATCACTCTAGGTAAATATTTACATACAGAATCTATTTATCTTTTTAGGATTTTTAAAGCTATACTTTTAAAAAAATCTTATTCATTATCATAATAAAAATATATATATGAAACCATTTTGATTACATTTCTCTCCGTGTATTTGTGTGTGCGCTTGACAGTGTGGTAAATAAATGAGCGGATACGGAAACGGTTTGGGAGATGTTGGGCTCTCCCTTTCTCTCCCCCTTCTCGTTTTCTCACTGGGAATGTGTCCCTGTCGCTGGGTCGCCTCTCTGCGAATGATAAATAACGTAATTTCTTTACAACTTTTCATTCAAATTTTCGCTACTTTTAACCGCACTCCGGGCTGCGATCCCAGCCTGTTGTTAAGTAAAATAAATTGCGATTCCGTGTAATAAAAGTCAATCATAATAATTCAATGACGCGACGTATTGTTGTGCCTCGTCATTGGGCTGCCTGCAGCCAATGCCTTCGCAACAGCCAGCCAACCAAACAACCAACCAAACACCCAACCACCCACAATATGGATAACCATTCAAGGGCGTTTACTGCGCCACCCACCCAGTCACCCACTGGGTTTTCATAAATACAGGCCCCCAAGGAATATTTGAATTTTTCGTTGCTTCATTTGATTTTCTGGCAGGGAGACTTCAACTGTAAGATGTCTCCTGTTCAAGTTGATACTTCACTTTTGCTTGACTAAGACAGCACTTAGCATAATTAGTTATCATTAGTCAACTGATCAATCACTTGTGACGTGATTCAACTTATTTTGAATGTTAGTAATTTAACTTTAAAATAATCCACGAAAATCCATTGAAGATGTGGCCCTAAATCACCTTCCACGAAAGGTACCTTTAAGAATTTAATGGAAGAAAGGAAAGTTAAGGAAATTGGACCCAGACAATCTCGAAAATGTTGAATACCAAAAATGCTGAGCATAAATCTTATCCCGACTTCCTCTTTCCGTTTTGTTGTTCTTTCAGATTCAAGGTATTTGTATGAGAAAGCAACCGATGGTTAAAAAGGAGTAAGTGGAGAGGTCCTTGAGGCAGACTGTTTTCGTTCCTTTCACGCAAGCATGAACAATTAATTATGGTTTATCGATTGAACTTAACAGAAGGAAGCAAAATATATTACAAATTGTATCCGAAAACCTTTTAATAGATTGTGTTTTTGTGTTTTTACACTGCACCAAAAATTTATGCAGTTCTGCAGTGCAGGACTGTGAGTTAACGGTTCTATTTGAACAATAAGTTAATTTGAAATTAGAAATAAGTCTGGCAGCACTGAAGTTGTTCAACACGAGTTGGCAGAGTTTAAATGTTTTGACTTGAGAAAATCGCTATTGAGAATTGACGAGCGGCAAAACCACAAGTGTATGAAAAAATATGTTTAAATTTTATGTTTGTGAACTCAAATTGATATTTTAATAAAGATCTGTTATCCATCCATATAGCACACCCTATGATTAGGGAATTCATTAGTGCAGCGTCGCAAATCCTCATCAAAGTAAGGATACTCATCGGGGCACTTTTCTGATGTCTTTGATCGATAGTCCTGGCAGACTGTATACTCCCTGCAGCCAGTGTTGATGGTGGCCACCAGCAGCTGATTCATATTACCGCAGCGATCGTAGGGGCAGCTAATATCCTTGGGTGAACCACACCGCTGGCTCCACCACTCAAAGTGCTGACCCCAAGGGCAGCTGCTCCATTGGCCCAAGACAAACTCGGAAGTGCAGGTATAAAATCCATAGCAAGTCATTAAATCCGGAAGAAGCTACACTCCGGATTTATCTTTATCATAATACTTGGAGCATATATGAAAATCTGTAGCGGGTGGGAGGACAGCGGAAATTTCTTTGGAGCAGTATTCTGGCAACCAGGATTGGCATTTACCAGATTTTCGGTTAAAATATCGACCAGCTGAACACTGTAACTGAATACTGAATCCATTGTGGCACTTGTAATACTTCTGACAGCTCTTCGGATCGCCAACGATGGAACCATCTTTCATATACGAGCAGATGTTATCCTGCGGACAACCGAAACTGCCATCCAGGCAGGTCTGCTCATTATTACTGTACACTTGACCAGCACCACAGTTGCCCCAAACGGGTTCATCGATATTCGCGCACCTTACGAACCTCCGGCAATCGGCAGGATCGGCAACATAGTCCCACGGCTCTAGATCGGCGCAGATCTCCGAGAGCTGTGAGTGGCACATCGCCTCCGATGCATTCAGGCAGGTTCCATCCCGGAAATTGTAGAGCATTCCCTCGTTGCAGGCACGTCGATCGATAAGCTTGTTGTCCTCGCAATAACCCCAAGCCTGGCAATCACTGGGATCTCCAATATAACCCTTGCCAGCCCATAACTTGCACTTCTCTTCCATGGTAAATCCTTTGATTTCTACCAGCCAAGTCAAAATTATCACCAGATGGAATCCACATTGCCGAACTAAGGTGAGCTTTAGTCTTTAGTCTCCCAGCAATAATCACTCTGCTTTTAGTACCTCTCATTGTGGTTAGACCGCCGACTCGTCTGGAACTCAATGAACTGAGCTATTTGCCCAATCTATTGCTATATTTAAGTACTAAAACGTATCTTGGCCTTTTTGTGTCACTGCCTGTCAGTAGATACCAAAAAACAAGCTGATAAGAATAACATATTTTCACAATGAAATTAGAAATGTTCTGAATGAGTGACATACGGATAAGACAGTGTCGATTACCGAAAACGTTCTCAACCAAATTGTCTTGGGGAAACCATTCTACCATTTGATAAAGTTTGTTCTTAACGGAAGGTAAACTTTACATAAAAATCAAGGTTGAATGATAATATTTCAAGTCATTAATTTTTAAAGTAACTATTCAGACGGTTAAGTTTGTAACTTTAAAAACATGTTTGTGTACTGTTCAGTACCATTTCTGCCGTCATTATAGAAAAGAAAATATATATATATAGAAAAGAACTTTATTTTTATATCAAAATCTCTTGCATATTCTGCAACACCTTCGTCTAAATGCAAAATTCTGCAAAAATGTTGACATAAACTTGCAAGTCAGAGAAGAATAAATACAAAAATATTACTACAGTTAAAGAAAATATTGTTGTTTCTTAAATAATAATACTGGCAATTTATTTTAATAAAAATAAAATAATAGCGATTTTAAAACCAAAAACATATCAATTAAAATGTTAAAAACTTTTTTAAAATTGATATATTTTTGTTTTGAAGTCACAATTTCTTGCCCTGTACAGTGCAGGCAAAAAATGTGCTTATCCAAATAGGTTTATCGGAAAATATGAGACGCATGCATAAAGATAAGCTTGGATGTGTCTGCTTTTCCGTGTCCTTTGCATTGTTAGAGCAGTTCCTGCTTGAAAAAAAAGGAGAATATATCGGAAGGACTTGGGAAATGACGGTGCCCCAGTGGCTTGTCGCAATGTAAACTGCTTAGCATCGATTGGGTGCACTTATTGACATTTTATGCTTAAGGACATGCTTAATATCCACAACGTGCTGTTCCAACCGCTCCGCCTCCACGCCATTTAAGCCCTCAGCGAGCTCCAATGTCGGCACAGTGGGTTTGTATTGTGTATTAAGAACTCAATTAAAATAATACTTTAAATTATATAATTACTAAAAAGTAGTTAGCATAGCTTTAAGGTTATATTCTTTTTATCCCCATAGATTTGTTTTTACTCAAAAGTAAAACTTAACTTAGTTTAAAGATGAAATGCACTAATTTCCCTACATAAGCCTTCAAAGAGATTTTGAAATTCCACAGTAAAAGTGAAGAAAGAAATCTGCTCTGCGAAGCAGAAAGGAACAGTTGCCATCAGCGGATGCTGTCTAGGGGCATAGACATACATATCTATGTGGACTCCTAAATGCAAATGGCTCAGAGCCTGGCGGACCTGGCCCCCTGGCTCTTACCACTTCCGGAACTCAAGGCCGCTGGTCCCAGTGGCGGCGCCGGTCGCTTCCGTTTCCTCCTTTCCATCCGCAGGACATTTATGCTGCTCATCAGGAGCACTGTCGATGTGGAGACCATCTGGCGGGCCACCTCTTCCCCTCCAACTACTTGCCCGTAATTTTCTTTTCAATCAGTGGCTGGCTGCCTATCCCTGGGGGCAAGGGTAAGTTCCCTCCACTCACCTACACTTACGAATGGCAAATTGTGCGACTGCGACTTTTACAGAGCACTGGATAAGTTTAATGGGGTGCACACAAAAAAATGTGTATAAAAAATAATTTAGTTATATATTTAAAATATAAAGATCAACGTGCTCAAGCCCAATCCGATTTTTTTGACTTTTTAAGTTGGCTAACTTTCTAAACTTTTATAAATTATCTTAAAATTTACAGTCAACTTCAATTTTTGTAGAAACTAAAACTTTTTTAAAAACAATAATCAAATTATTTTCCCTGTGTAAGTTCGTTTGAAATGCCTGTTTTGGATTTCGTTCTTTTGTCGAGAATCCGCCCATCTGTCCATCCAATTTGCACCTCCCCCAGTTTTGCCCTGTCTGCTATCTGGATTTTTGTTCTTATTTTCATGGCCTTCTTTGTAATTTTCCCCACATGTTCACGGCTTGAATATTTTATGAGCTTAAGTACTTTCAGTTAGAGCCTTTGCCTGGCCTTGTGCGTTTTGCACCTTGCACCTCGTACATAAATTCATTAGGTTAGTTTGCTCTTCGCTCCTGGTCATTGTTTCCTGTTTGTCGGACAAGGAGATCCACTTGTTGAGAGTTGGCTCCATTAACATACCTGCAATGATAAGAAACCGGATTGAAGTCAGTTTTTGGGTTAACTAAATGGCAGAGGAGGTCTTAAATGGCCTTAGTAAGTTTCCTTTTATTTTCATTAATGAGTATATCCATTTAATCAGACTTTGGTTTTATTTTTTTCCGGATTGTGTTTGATCAGGAAATTTAATTACATATCAAATTTTAATTGAATAATAAATATCTTCATTTTATATAATTTATAACAACAAAGCTGTTAAAGCTCATTAAAAAGGCAATTATATTCCAGTAAACATAAACACAAAGGTGGTTGATTTATGCGAGATGCAAAATATTGAATATATTTTCTGATTCTATTATTTCTGCATATTAAATCACAAAATAATAATTCTATTAAACTAAATTAATGTTGATTTCTTAAATCGTCAAGCTGAGTATCTTATCGCTTAGAACATTAAACATTCAAACAAAGTTCAGGTATCCTAGCATAAACCTGTGAAAACATTTAAAAGAAACGTTAAGCATTTTGTGACAGCGACTTGTGGGGCCAGCGAAACATCTTCAGCTCAAGGCGCCACTTGGGCAACAGGGAAAATGAGCTCCGGCAAAGTCAGCAGGTCAAGGATTAACACGCTCTCTCCACCTGTCTCATATAACTCATTTTAATTAGGTTAAATATGCAATGGAAAAATGAAAAGTGCCGAGCGAAGCAAGTCGAGGGGAAAAGGTAAAAGGCAAGACACAAACCCCGGGCATTTGCTCCGTGTGACCCCCCTCCCTCTGAGATTCCGGAAAAGTATTCAGTAAAAATGTGGGTGGTTGGTTGGTTGGGTGCTTCATAAGCGGCAACCGGCTCAATGAGATGCAAAGGACGATAAACAAGTCCGCCAGCGAAGAGGATGCTCCGTTGGCGAAATAAGGTTACGGGTCCTCGACTCAAAGGCGACGAAGACACGGCGCTTGGCGGACAAGAAAAAAATAAGGCTAAAAGGAAAATTGCACGGCCAAAGGCAGCCACCAAGTCATATTTCTTTTGGCCAAAATGAAAACGCCAAACAAACACGAAGGGAAGACCCGGGTCCTCCGCTGAAGCTAAAACAAGAATTATGGTGGCTTCCCTTCGAGTCGAAGGCGGGGCTCCAAGTGTGGTTCGGCCGGGTGTGGGTGGGCCACGTACTTGGAGTATTTTGCCAAAATTAAAATTTATGAACAGATAAAAAAGCGTTAATGGCCACTCGCAAAGGTCACGACTGGACGAAGAAACAGTGGAGCAAGATGGATATTTTTATTTTTAAATTAAAAAATAGTTGTAACAAAAACCAGATAAATGTACGGGATCTTTGTACTGGCCATAGCACTTTTACCTATGCTTTTCATATATAAAGATTATTTACTTAAGTATTAGTAGAAACCACTGTGGCATTGGGGTGTTAGTGTGTAACAGTTTCCACCGAAAGTGGCAAATGGACCGAAGTGGCCGCAGCACGCGATGTGGACGTGGTAGCAAGGAAACCACAGTGAGGCAACGACAGCGACCAGCTATAAACGTTGCATTTTTATTGCACAGAGTTACAAAAATTCTAGGTACCTCTTCCAAGGTCCAGATGGGCATTAAAGTGCTCCTCCAGCATGCTTTTTTTTTGTTTTTGCTTTCTGTGGAATGTGGCAGACATTATAAGGTGTAGGTACTTTGCCAGAAGCCACGTGTTGACTTAGTGTGGCGCCACCTGGGGAGAGGTTGAGGCAGTTCGCCATAAGTTATCAGGGTCAAAGTGCATGGGTGGTCGCAAAATAAAGACAATAGTACTTAAGGTTATGCTTGGCTTAATTCTTGTTTCGCCCACGTATCTGCAAGTGAATTATTTGGGCTTTTATTACGGGTTGCCCTTGAAACTAATCAAAGATGGCCCTATAAATAATTCCAAAAAGAATTCTTTAATGAAGGTTGATTACAATCGAATTGAAAAGTTTTCTTTTGCTTTGATGAAAGAAACTTACGATAAAAATTGGGAACTTACAATAATGTTATATAGGATTTTAAACTATGTGAGACCTACTACTATATACTCCTATTTCCTAAAACAAACCCAAGACATGTGTGAAGTTTTCCATTCGGAATATCATCCACTTCGGATTGTCCCTCCATAATTCAAAAGCGTTGGACAGATGTCGAGCTGCCATGCACATGGAACATGTTGTTATTGCTCCTGCGATTGCTTGGCCTGTAAGTGCGGGTGTTCAAGGTTTCAAAGTCGCATTTCTCGCTCTTGAAACAATGTCGACTCGTTGACAACCTCCTGAAGTGCACCTTCGCACACTCCCCAGATGCTTTGTGCCAGGGCCAACTACGCCAGCCACCTCAACGATGCTAATGGCATTCGCCAGTTGTTGCTGCTGCTGCTGACATTACTGATGTTGCTGTTACTTCTATTGCTGCTGTTACAGCTACACTCGAAGAAAATCTTAATAATTTAAAGTTACAAAAAAAGTACGTTTTTAAATCTTACTTTCTTTTAATTCAGTAGAATTTTAATTTTCCGTTATTTTATACAACATCTGTCCTGCTTCCTTCGATCGTAGAGTGCCCGTACCTAGATCTTCCACTTAATCCCTAGCTTTTTTATCCTTAGTTTAACTTAGTTTTGTATTGTA